ACAGAAAAACCCAAAAACAACAATTTACACATTTTAATCTATGTGAAAATCTGATGTACGAAACAACATCAGCCTTTTGATTCGCTCCAACATTAAAACACATATCATCATTTAATTAAACTTAAACAAATAACTTCAATATCAAGCATCTGAAGGACGAGTTGAAATAAAAGATTTAAAAGTTTCTCACCACGTTGTCGTTCTTCACCCTTCAAGGTTTTCTCTTGTCGGAGTTAGTCCCCTGATGGACGTCTGAGTCTGGAGACGAGCCACTGAGTTTATAAAGGGTGACTTCCAGCAGTGGACCAGCCTGTTTTACTGCTCTTACTGTTTGACACCAGTTCCTTGATGGGAATCTGAACAATGACACGGTTTGCTCGGATCATTGTGCAAATGCAGAATTATCTTTATAGAAACCCACATTCATACCTGAGTCACCGGAGAGACACCCGGACGTGAGACAGCTTTGACTTTAAATATCTGCAGAGTCATGCCTGCATGTCTGAAGTTTGTGAGTAAATAGAACATTTAGAAAAAACTAAAATGTTGGAAAAAGCAACGAGTTACATGTCTGAATGTTGAGTTTTCAGGATTTCGAGACTCATGAGAAATACACTAATGATAGCTCCATCTCTTCTGGTCCAAACACAGAAAGGTGCAAAGAAAGGCCTTAGAAAGGTGGCGTCATGTGGTCGCTGAACATCCACCTGCTTCCCTGTTCAATCACAGATCAGCTCGGGGAACGTGTGGTCAGATGGGAAGAGAGAGACGTCACGTCTGCAGGTTTTCATGGTTCTGTCCAGGATGAGCTGCTCTCCAGAGCTTGTGTCTGTGAACCTGAATCCTCACCACAGGCTCAGCAGCACTTTGCACTGATGTCAGCAAACATTGTTCATTTATACTTTCCAGCAAACACGATGAAGATGAATATGAAGTCAAGTTATGTTGTGTGGTATTATGTTATGTTATATTATGTTGTGTAATATCACGTCATGTTGTGTAATAGTGTTTTATGTTATGTTATAATATGTCATGTGATGTTATGTCTTGTGTTGTGTTTTGTTTTGTTATGCATATCATAACTGCAGGTAATATATGATTTCATTAATAAACTAAACTAAACTGCTCCACATCTGTTGTTGTTGTATTTGGTGTGAGAGCATGAGTGAGTCCATGTTTGCTCAGCTCTGGGTCAGAGGCCGGCCACTCGTTTGTCAGGGTTATTTTCTGCTGTGTCACAATCAAATCGGACAATGTGACTTTGACCGATCTGAGAAGAAACTCTGGTTTCACAGGTTTGAGGTGACATAACGTTTGATTCATGGGAAGAAGGTTTCGACACTCACATTCTTCTCACAATCCTTTGTAAACACTTTCTACTCTCTGAAAGAAAAACCCCAAGCCACAGTTCACAACACACTGCAGATGAAATGTTCAAATCTTATCAGATCTTATTATATATATATATATATATATATATATATATATAATATATCATAATTTTTAAATGAAGTCCCCCGACTTTGGAAAAGGCAGAAAGGCTCATATTTGTTATATGAACTGAACGTCAGGAAAACCTGAGAAACTCATTGTCACCTAAGAGAAAATAATTATTTTATTAGTGATGATGGATCAACAGAGGAAAAAAAAGTGCAACATAAAGTTTTTAAAAGGCAATCTTAAATAAAATAACTTGTTATATATAATTACAAATACCTCTGGTAGACACATGCACAGTCTAAGACTAACTGTTGATTAAAACACTGCATCCCGGGAAAAGACAAGACAATCCTTCAGTAGTCCCACTATGGGGACATTTGCAGCACTACAGCAGCGAGAGTCAAAAAGACATAAGAAGTAACACGCAATAATCAAGTGTAAGGAACGTTAACAATAGAGAAACATTGATACAAACAACGTCTGATGACGTCTGAAATCTTCTGTTCTCTGTGTCTTCTTTGTTTGGACCGAATGAAAGACGGACGTGATGGGATCAGATCTCAAGTGTAAATGTCATCAGGTTAAATTCAGACCTGTTTTAATGTCACTCGTGAAAAGAGACTAAGACAAAGTTATAGAGTTCATTTCCCCGCCTTGTTATTTCCTGTCACTTTGTGCAGAATCACTGTGTGTGTGTGTGTGTGTGTGCTCTTTGTTCTCACACTGTCGAGCAGTGAGACAAACAGGTCGGGCACGTAGCTCGCCGCGCTCACCTTCAGGTTCATTTTACACATAAATCAAAGTGACTGCTGATGTTTGAGTGTGAACATTTCCTCCTTCACTCCCTGAGCGTCTGTTCTCTGTAACTCTGGCAGCGTCCCCGTTCTTTTTTTAACTTGTGTTTATTCATATTTAAAATTCTTAAATTGTCAAGTAGATGAATGTGAAGGACTCATGATAGACTCTGTTAATCTTCATCGTCCTGAGGAGGGAGACGACGCCTGTTGGGCAGAATGTCTTTCCCTCCTCTGTCCAGTGGGCGATGAACCTTTTCTCATCAGATATTTGGACTCATCAGCTGTGACTGAGCTCAGACGTGTTTCCCCTTCAGTCCGATCATACTCTCCCTGTAAGAACACGCCACGCTCATGCTGACATGAAAACAGGTTCTGCAGCTGTTACGGGCCGGAGCAGGAAACATGTGTCCCACTTCCTGTCACACATGTTTTGTTTTGAAAAGAATACGAGCTGATGAAACTGTCTAAACGTGGAGAAAAGGATTTCAATGCTTCCTTCTTTCCTTGTCTCCTTTAACTTAGGACGCTCTGAACCGTCCACAGTCTTTATGTCCTTCATGCTTGTCCTTGATCTCGTGATGTTTTTCCATCGAGGTCAAAGAAAGGACACCTCAGTCGTCTTTGTGATCTCGACCTCTAAGTACTGCAGTTGCATCATTTTGCCCCAAGATGGTGCTGTTTTCTACAGAGTCCATTGAGTCCAGCAGGTTCTTTTTATTCTGTGTGAATGTGTGATTCATTTACACCATCATCACTCATCCATCCATCATCCATCATCCATCCATCATCCATCCATCATCCATCATCCATCATCCATCATCCCTCATCCATCCATCATCCATCATCCCTCCATCATCCATCATCCATCATCTATCATCCATCATCCATCATCCATCATCCATCATCCATCATCCATCATCCATCATCCATCATCCATCCATCATCTATCCATCATCCATCATCTATCATCCATCATCCATCCATCATCTATCCATCATCCATCATCTATCATCCATCATCTATCATCCATCCATCATCCATCATCCATCATC